GTTCGTATTTTATTCTCTTCGTTTTACTGTTGCTATTCAAAAGGAGAGAAGATCGAACCGAAGGCTCAGAAACTTTCCACAAAATTCGGTATGACATACTGAAGGAGCAAACATGAAAAACGAAAAACAGGTTACCTATTGCGGTTCTTATCACAACAAATGCATAAAGCTTTATTGACAAAAACACTTTTATTTACGCTCTTTTTCTTCAGACAATCTACATATTTACACAAGATGCATTGTGAGAATCTAAAATTCTGTCATGTAGAAAAAGAATATGATAAGTACACGAAGAATAGAGAATATTATCAAATGTTTATAATAGATTTTATTTTAACTAACGTAAAAGACACTAAGTCAATAGTCCGATGAAACAGTTCCGAGTTAGCTCATGTTAATAACCATTCTATAGTATGGCTATGAGTGTGGGAATCTGCATCTTTCGTGTTGATAATGTAACTAAGTTGTACCCTAACGCATACCGTCACCTATATCCTGAAGTGAAATTTTCATTTATAACTACTAATAGATAGAAACTATGACTATTTCTAGTCTAAGAAGACTTCCTATCTCGTTTTAATAATATATATATATCTATTTCTCATTAGCTGAGTGCGGAAGTAGGTGGGCTCTTGTTTAAATTTCTATGCGCATCTACACTAGGGGTGTCGGTTTCGAGTTCTCGTTCTCAGGTACGGGAATGCAGGGCGTTTCCAAGTCTAGAAACCCGACCAGGATTGGCATTCTTTGGTATACAAATTGAAACTTTGTCACGAGTTCTGCGTAGGGATGATACTTTACTTTTACTTTAGAAAACAAAGATAAATAGATCCTTTACTTTTAGAAAATAAAGATAAATGAATCGTTTAGTTTTAAAAAATAAAGATAAATGATTCATTTATCCTTTAAAATAAAGATAAAGTAAAGGAATAAAGGATTCTTTTTTTGAGAGCTGGTGGTGTTGGAAGTACTCTAGGACCACAGAGGTCATGTTCAGAAAAATTTTTATCATAAAATAAATGCACTTGTACTGAAAAGTAGGGATGGATCTTTGTTTTTAGTTTGAGTTAATTAAGTGACTTGATTAAAAGACTTTACTCAACATTTAATATTAATAAAAAAAAATTTCGTAGGAGTCACTTAATCACTTAATATTAAGTATTAATGCAACACTTAATTTTTAATATTAAGTGCTAACGTATTACTTAGTTTTTAAAATTAAGTGAAAACATAACACTGAATTTTTAATATTAAGTATTAAGTTTTTCGCTTTAACGGTTAATTCACTTAAAATTAAGTGATTAAGTGGTTGATATAAAAACTATTAAATTTAATTTTGATTCAGAATCTGATAGTTTCAGTTCAATAGTTTGCTAGAGTTTGATGGAAAACTCTTTTCATACGAACTGTTTCATAGCACTTTTTAGAAATTTCTAAGGAAATTTTCTGCAACTTTATGACAATCATGTGAAAGAGTCTCTATAAATGCTTTGAACTTCAGCATGAAGTGATACGAATACTACCGATATCAATGGCGTTCGCTAGCAGTAGGAATAAGGGGTGGGATACGATGTAGCTGCGATCGTAGTTGTAATTGAACTTAAGACCCATAGGCCTATTCACACGTGAATTCGACACAGCTCCTCATCTACATCTACCCCATATCCAGACTGAGGCTCAAACCACCAAACCGCACATCTGCACTCAGATTCAAAACCCATATACTCGTAAATCAACATAGAAAATTGAGATACAACAGCTTATATTAAGAATCTCTCTATTTAAACTTTAACAGCAAAAGACCCGATGCTGTTGAAAGCTGAAAATGTCAGAAGAAAATGTATATGTAAAAATGCTGCTAGTGCACTATTTTTTGAAATTATCGAGACTATTCAGTTATGCTGGAAAAAATGAAGTATTTCTTCTTCATCATAAAATGCTTCTTGTCTCTATTCGATTTTATTTATCAAGAAATAAAACCTTTTTGTTGTCTTTATCTTTATTGCATAAATAACAACTTTCTATTTTCGGTCATTACTGGTTGGAAAGAACAATAAAGATAAGTCAAAAGCTCTATTTGCAAATGTGCTTTTGAGAGTCACACGAAATGAAATAGTTATAAACAAAAGTACATATTTATAGAATTTTTTTTTCTCTACATGGCAATGTGTATTTCGAAGAAATGGTTAGACAACAGACTTCCCGGTTCACATTTTTATACATTGTAGGCATAAGAGAACAGAAATTACACACTTGTCTCAATAAGTAAATGCCTTCAATAAAGGGTATGAGATCCATAACTCACTCACACCCTAAGTACTTGTATTCCACAGTGAATACATCTGAGCACCTGAAATATTCTTTGTTTTTACGAAGACACCTTCCTCTGGGTGTGGGATGTGGGTGTGTCTATTCACCTAATACTCACATCCACACCCACGCCCTAGTTCTGACTACGTATGATCGTCATTGGAGGAGTTGAAAAAAGACTAGTAGCAATGACAATCAGATCGAATTTGAATAATTCTGCGTTACCATCAGCGATTTTGACTCGAACTTCCCATGGTTTGCTGGCATTTTTAAGATCGTCTTTATCAATTGATATAACTTTCGAATCGAATTCGCTCGATTAGATTGAATCGATTGACATATTTCTGTAGATAATCATGAAAATGCTTTCAAGAAACAAAATTCGATGCTAATACAAGCAAATCAACAGGGATAGACGTAGAAAAATTAAAAATCATACCAATATTTACCGACAGAATCGACTAAAACAAAAAATTCCATAAAACCACCCACTTGTTAAATGCACCAAGAGACATATGCTCAGTCTTTGGATCATATACCTCCCAAAACGTGATTGACGATCAAAGACAATGACCTTGAAACCATCGGTCAAGAGCACTTTGGCAACAAAGTAGAGAGTGCCGGTGTAGGCATGATTGCGAATGTTTTGGGTGTGAGAGAGAAGTTATCACCCACCCAAACCCTTACCCACACCCACACCAACAGCCTTCTAGAAAACTCACATCAATCTAAAATGGCAATATAGTAACTATTACAAATGAAATAGATATGTTCTTAATCACACATTGATATCAAGAAGCATTTAGGATATCAAAAGCGAAACAATATTTTTTCGCATTGCTTGTCTGGAAATTCATCAAACATTTGCTCTTATAAGAAAGCCAAAAAAAACCAGTCGAATCAATCATGATCATGTTAGCACAGTGAGTTGAGATTTGTCTGAACTGGTTTGTATATAAACAACGTATAGCGACAAAAATAAATAAACGAAAAAACAGAAAATTCAATGATTCTCTCTAGAATAATTTTTCCATTGTATCAACGAAAAACCTATTACAGAATGTTTTTTTTTAAATTATTTATTCTTAATTATTTCATTGAAGTTCTTGTACTATAAAATCATTGTCTTTTTAACACAAAGCAACATATCATTCTAGGCGTCTGTTGTATTTAGAGAAGAAAAAAGACAATGTGTTTATTGTTGCTCATGTCTATATATTCATTCTTGATCAGTATCATCGTTATTCAATTATCTTAAGCATGCAACGAACAAAACGGCAAGACAATAATATAGTTCAAATTTCAAATATTAATAAAAAACAAAAATTAGAAAATCAAAGTAATATTTTATGTTAACATTTATTAAATCTAATTTTCGCCGTTTGTTATTTTAGTAATAACAATCAATTCAAACAAGTTAGATATATCTCTTTCATTACATAAATAATAATCTTTTACTTTTTTTTATTTAGATATCGTTTTGAAGACTTAGCCAATGAAATTCTGTATGAAATATTTGACTATCTTGATGTATATGATATTTACAAAGGATTTTATAATCTTAATAATCGATTTCAAAATTTAGCTATTCATTCGAATGTTTTAACTAAAATCAATATTTCAACAATATCAAAATCAAATTTCGAAGATTATTATAATAATATACTTATACCAAATCAAAGTCGAATTAATTTTCTTCGTTTATCAAATCCATTTACTGCTGAGATTGTTTTCTTAGAACCACATTTAATTTTGAATTTCATTCGTCTTGGAACATTAATTCTTGATAATGTACAAAATAAAAATTTTGACAAATTCTTGGATTATTTAATATGGTTACCTACCCTTCATGCAATAACTATTTCTCTTACTGAACATATTTCATCATTAGATATTCTTTTTTCTCAAATATTTCGTTTATCGACATTAAAATACTGTAAAATTGAATATCAAATAAAAAATTATCAACAACCATTATTTGTTTATTTTACTAATTACGATTCTAGTTCAATAGAGTATTTAATAATAAATGGTCGTTTTCCATTTAGCGCATTTCATAATTTATTATGTTGTCTTCCTAAACTTCAACATTTATCAATTAATTCTCTTGTTAACTATGATGATTATCAAGAAAGAGATAAATTATCTTCTATTCATTTAAAATATTTAAAACATGTTTCTCTTAAACTTGATTACGTACGTTTTGATGAATTTGAAAAAATTATCAAAGAATTTTTTCATCATATTCAAATTTTACATCTTACAACAGCGTATGATGAAACATATTTAGATGCTAAACGATGGCAACAATTAATCTTATTTCATATGTCATATTTACGAATATTTGATATTAATCATCAAGGTTCTGTAAGCAATAATAATTTAACATATCATGATATAATTAATCAATTTAATTCTTCATTTTGGAATGAAAAAAAATGGTTTTTTACACATCAACATGAATGGGAACACCGATTAAATACTGGAATTTTTTATTCGACTAGTCCATATCGGTAAATAGATATTAATCTATTATACAAAAGGAATAGAATATTAATATCGAACTTCGTTTTTCTTCAATAGAAAAACTACTGAAAGAAAATATTTTCTTGTTTCAAATTGAATAATTATTAACAAAGAAGTTTTATACAGTTCGAAAATAGAAAATTTATTCGGTAAAAAGAGAATATTTTCTTACAATAGCTTTCTATCGAAAACAATCATCCATTTATCATCATATATTATTTATTTCATTTTATTTTTATTCTTATTTAGAAGAAAAGATTATACGTATTATTGGGAGATAGATAAAGAACTTGGTTTATATCATCAAAGAGAAAATTCAAAGTCAGTCAAACATCTTAATATTGCGAGTAAAATAAAACCAAATCATCGGAATTATTTTTCAAATATTAATCAATTAACTATTGAATATTATGTTGAAACATTAGATGATGATTCATTTATAACAAATCTCAAGTGTATGATTCCTTTAAAACAACTTACAAAATTAGTTATTAAACTTAGTCGTTTTCCATTCGAAGAAATTATTAAATTATTACGTTTAACACCTAATTTATACACATTACAATTTGTTATATATTCTTTGCAAGAGATTGATTCAAATTTCAGTAAATACAATATACTTTTACAACATACATTAAAGAAAAATAAAATTGAAAATTTAATTCTTACTGGTAGATGTTCATTGAATGAAATTCGATTCATTATTTATGTATTTTCGAAATTAAAATATCTTAAAATTGGAATAAATAGAACAGAAATATCATCAATAATTCGATATTTATTATTAAAAACTCATAATCAAGCACAACATTTATTTTATTTATGTATTTCAAATATTCCAAAAGGATGTTTAAAAGAAACAAAAGATTTAATTAAATTAGAGAATTTACTTGATAATTACTCTATTGAATGCATTAATCAGGACTTACATTTATGGTGGTAAAAAATTTGGTTTTTTAGGACTTGTTCTACTCATTTATTTTCTTGTTATATATGATAATGATTGTTTTTTAATTCAATTAATAAATAAATCAGAGATTGAACTTTCAATAGATATATTTATGATTTTATTTTAATGAACAAATAATTGCAGCAAATCAAAAATAATCATCTACATTAAATGAATGTTTATTAGAAGATCTGACAAAGAATAAATCATAAAAAAAAATAGGATTTTTTCCAATTTTGGCGTCAAGTGATATCATTTGGTGGAATTTATGTATATTTTTCGAAAAAAACAAATCATAATGAGTGTACTTTTAAATCAAGGTTTTTTTTCGAATTCGTCCTGTCCATTCTTATAGACTCTTCCAATACGGACCTTAGTAATCATAGATAGACTTAGAAGGTTCTGAAGCATTCTAGAATCTTCGTGACCATACAAATGACTCGAATATTTGAAAAAAACTCGGACTCATATTTTTTGCACCCTAAAAGATTATACAATCTTTATCAGGGATAATGTTTTGATTTTCCATAAGTTAGATATGGCTAACAAAAAAAAATATGATTAAATTACTTTCGAACTTTCATATATATAGTCAATTTGGGTCTTCCTGAGTATATCGAGATGCAGAAAAGATTTGTTTACAAATATTTTCCTCAAAATTAAAAGCAAAATAAGACTGAATTATTATAATTATAAACAGAAAAATGATCAACTAAAACAGATGACTATGTCAAATAATCTCGAATATTATATAATTTTCATAGGAGGAGAGATTGATTGATAAAAGATATTTTGATACAGATATTGATCAATAATATACTAGCAAATAAATTAGACTTCAATTTTTCTCGTTCATGAATAATAAGAATTAGTATATTTTACAAAAATCTAATCATCAAATAGGATTAAAAAAATCCCATTAACCGGTATAATCGTTACATATGGCCGAAGAGTAAAGTGACATTATAAGATTCTTTGACATAATTAATGAGACATTATCGGAAGATCTGTAAAATAGGATATATTATTGGAAAATTGTCTCAAATCGAATGACATTGCCAAAATAGAAGATGATTTACAAATGTTCATGTATATTCATTTGATTATTTTTGTCATGAATGAACAGATGTTCTTCTAAAGTATAAAACCATTTTTGAAGACTTATTTTTCTAGTCTAAGAGGATCGAGAATGATATTTAGAATAAAAAACATTAGAATTATTTTCAAATGCAAAACTATTTCGATTTGTTTTTTTTTTTTTTATTCTTTGAACATGTAGTAGTTATGAATTATTTACAGCTGTTACAAGATCATTTGGCTCCGATATTCCATTAATAGTTGAAGATATTGATGATATCACTTTAAAAGTATTCAAATTACGTGATCATTTTCAATTTTATGATGTTACATTTCAACTAAAAGTAGATCGATCTTTAAAAATTGTATCAACGAGATTTTACAGATCTCTATGTCAGCTTTTTTTTTCTGTAAGACATTGCAAAATTGTGTCAATTTTCAGGGGATTATACTGTCACATGCTGAGGGTAGATCAGTCTTATCAATTCGTAAGATGAATGCTGATATAGTATCGTGATGACACTGATTTTTGAAAGATTTTTCGATATCGGTGTGACAAATTTTCAGTCAGAATAAATGTCTAGGAAAAAATCTTGCTCAAAAACTGATTTATTTTATTACGATTGAAATATAAAGAAAAGGAATTTTGTTCAAATAATATAGAATTTATCGTATTGATTACTTTTATGTTTAAAATAAAACAAAAAAATCTTTAAGTATTCAACGATTATTTGAACAATTAATCCAAAACTTATTTTTAACAAAAATTTTTCAGATGTCCTTCGTCAGGACATTTCTAGAAAGCTCATTTCTCCAATGAGAACTTTTTCCTTAAGTCATTTGTCAACGAATTGTTTTCTTTTTGAAAATATTTATTAAAAAAATGTTATCAGAATTGAAATAACATGTAAACTACATAGGTACTCATTATAATGCAACTGTATTAGAATGGTGGACAAAGATAGCAACTAAAAAAAGAAAAAGATCAATTTATTGAATATATTTGTCGTCCATTTGGAAATCGAAATGAACTCATTGAAGAATTGAAAAGATTAACAATCATCTTATATATGGAAAATCAATTCCACCAAAAGATATGAACGAATAAAACATTTTTTTACATTAATTTTCATTCAATCCATTTTTAAAATAGTTATTCAGATGGATATAAACAATCCATCAACAAAAATTATATCAATCAAATCGAATCTTTCATCTTTTACCATAATAATGAACTTGTCAACTTATATTTTTCTTGAAGAAGACAAACCATTAAAGAAAGAATTGTTATTATAATTCAACTAGTCTCTTTGTGGCTTTTGGCTTGATTGATTCATTTTTATTCATTGTCAATTGGAGATTTTTGGTAATAAACTTTCATTCAGCTAATATTGGAATTTAATTGACATTCCTTTCGAATATATTATTTAGATTGTATTAAATGTTTCATATTTTGTGAAAAGGAAAATATTTGATTAGATTTTTCAGTCGTTCATTCACTCAATTAGCGCGGTTCACTTTGTTTGTTTTGCTGTTATTATATATTCTATATCCATCTACGGCAAAATTCTCTCTTCGTTTTTTTTATGTTAAACAAACTCAATGAAGTTTTTCCAAAACACACATTTAAAAACTTTTTAAGTTCAAATGACTCTCATTGGCTAATTACAAATCATTTCATATGAATTTTTATTCTACACATCATATTTTTTGAAACATACATTGAATATCTATTTCTTTGTCATTCGAAGATGAATATTATCATGCTCTTTATTTTCTCTAATATTTGTTATATATGTGAAAAAGAATTTTTACTCTAATGAAGAACATATAATATAAAGAGAGACTATAATGATCTCCCATTCATCGATTTGTAAAGAATCTCTTTAACTATTTTTTTAATCAGTAAACTTATGATATAATTGAGTTTGTGGAAGGTGAGTGAGGGTGTATTATTTATGTGTGTGAGACGCACATGATAAACCAATAGAGTGGGATAAAAAATAAAAGAAATACAGCGCTGTCTCATTCCTTTTGATCAATTTATAAGCGTACTTTCTCATCATAATATCCGATGCGCAAGAATATTCTTGATCGTGCAATATATACTGAAGATAAAAAAATTATACACGATGGGTGTTACAAAAATAAAAACAAATACAAACAGATAGTCAGAATAAATCGTCCTGATACTCGTACTGTCTTTAATGTATATCCGTTGCATTCTGATAAACGTTTTAAAGTTTTATCATTCTACTCTTTTTTTTTCAGTGTTGTTGAATAATTTCATAATACAATGGCAAACATCATAGTTGTCCTACTTGAAGAAATGGATTCAATGTGAATTATTTTTATATGTTTTGTTTTGTTTACGTCACTTTTAATATGCAAACATTCCTAAGATCAGAGAATTACTATCTAACAATTGTTGATGAATGATATGTAGTCATATGATTTAATTCGAAGTTTTAATGTATAAGAATCAATCTAGCGTTTGAAGAGTTTTCTTTCGATAACAACAAATGGAGTTTCAAAGAAAATCACAACAACGATAGCCGCTACATAGCTGAAAAATAGATTTGAAATGTAAGTATTCAGAATCATATGTGGTTGACAGTATATAGGCATCGTTTGATTGTATATTGTTATCAGTAAAACCATCAAATGTATCAAATAAGCTGCATAATTAAGACGAGCTAGAGGAGCCCAAATCGACCATGAAAGAACTGTATTGACTATTCCACCTTGATTTGTACTACACAAAAAGAGAATCCATCCAATGACGAGTGCCCAACATGGACGAGAGAGTGCTTGATAGGCAATTAGTGCTGATCGGCTGAGACCCGGTACGAGAACATAATCTGGATACATCACAAAGATACAGGTCAAGCCAACTACAACTGCTAGAAGATTTCCGAATAGTTTCGTACAGGTATTTGAACGATATGAATGACCAGTATTGATAAAAATAAAACCAGTTAGAAGGCCAATAGCATAAGCTGAAATACGACACCATGGGGCAATATAGATTTTGCTAAAAAAGCTAGGACCATTCTGTTGAAAAAAGAAAAACTAAATAGTAACAAGAACAAAATGACCACAAAATCAATACTTACCACGTTCGTGGCATCTGCGAAAAGACTCAATGACATATTCGGATAATAAAGCAGAATGCCAACAATTGATCCAATACCGATAAGAACATAAATAGTGGTAACAAAGTAACCAATCGATTTTCGACCGATAACGAATGGAATGAGCGCCAGAGGTGCAATCCAATGAAATTGCATATCATTATAAAGATACCATGAAACACCTAGACACATGTCATCGACATGAACTAAATTGCCAACATAGAGTATGGCTGTCCACCAACCATGCTGTCGACATCCCTCGGATTCAAATCCTTGTATAGATGGATAAATAGGTCCGCGACCAAAATATGCTGTTAAATTTATGCTGACAAGTAAAACAAGAAGAAATGTCGGCGTAAGACGAATATATCGATGAATGTAATAACGAATGAGAAAACGAAAGGAAAGTTTTTCTTTCGTAATTTCTCGAACAAAAATAATTGCTGTCAAGTAACCACTGATTACGAAAAATGTATCTACACTCAATACACCGTTAGAAATTAATTGAAACGCTATATTATGAGACCAAGAAAGAACATCGATAATATTATTTGTATAGAATAGATTAAATAAAATTGAATGACCAAAAATAACCCAGAAAAGAGAAAGTACACGAAGACCATGAATAAAAGCCAGTGAATTATCGTCATTTTTCTTTTCCATAGTAAAAATACGCCGTAATGTACGTACAGCCGAAAATTGAGCAATGAATATGCTTTGAGGTGTTGCACTCAAAAGAGCTTGAATAGAAGAACATAAATATCTCGATGATATTATCGATTTACTGTTGATCAGTCCGATATCCGATATGGCATTGTATCCATTGATGTGTGATGAATCAGGATTGATTGATTCAAAACGACAAGCAAGAATTAGATCAACAATGGTACCAACGAACACGAGAAGACCAAGTATCGAGAGAATGACACATGTGATCACTACACCACGAGGTAAATTCTTTTGTTTACTGGCAGCATCATTCGAACAGAGAACATTATTTTCGGTAATATTATCTTTTTTGAATAAGTTTCGAGCTAATCTAACAATAGATTGACGATCACACGATGAAGGCACACAAATGCCAAGAGTAAGTCCAGAAGATACCGTTCCTTCTGATATTGTGTCACTTGGAGACAGAGTACCTAACACAACATTAATATATCTCTCAATTGTACATTCATAAAATGAGTCTTATCAACTTACAGTATTGCCCAACAAACGGTTGTGATAAGAAAGTTTTGTTCGCTGGTTGATATAATGAATCGAGACATTCATCATAATTACCTGTCCACAGCATATTTCCTTTGAGTACACCAGATGGCAAGGGTTTACCCCATGAATCGAAGAGTTTAAGTGCCCATAGATCACGACTTAAAGCTGCTTCAACTAAAATTAAAAAGTCTTGTTCACACTGTGTTGTTGCATTGCTATTAGACATGTGCAAAATGAGTTTGTGGATTTCTGACGGTTTGATACTATATGACTCATAGTCAAACTCGTGAGATGTATAATAATGACGTTGAAGAAGTCGATTAATTGCCACATCGAAACGAAGTGGAATTTTATGATATTCCTGTTGGTAAATGATATGTGGTAGCGAGAACAGTAACAACAGTTTAATAAGCTGCATCACAAATAGTGTTTTATTTTTTAGTCACACACGCAAAATAAATTATCTCGTTTTATTTGTACTGATAAAAAGAAAATGAATAAACATTAGGACAAAGTTTCTTTTAAACGACAGATATCAAATGACGTCAAATGTCATTGATATATCACACTTTTAGGATTTTGCATCGTAATCATTCAGAGTTAGAAATATCTAGGCGTAGACATTTTCTTGTTTTTCGTTTGACAAATATTATGTTGAGCCTTGATAAAATATATACAATTTATTTGTTGGAAAAGTCTTTCAACACAATAGACTCCATGGAAGTTCGTTTCACATCATACAGCATTATGCTCACATTTTATTCAAGAATAGCTGGTTTTTATTGAAGTTTCCATACTTATGTGAAAGATTTTCCATCATAGATAATTTCTCGAGGTCTCACTCCGAAGCATTTGCTTTTTCATTCAGCGACGAATTTGTCTCCAATGAAGTTCACTCATGGCCACTAGACACATGTTCCGATCTGGGTGTTTCATAAGCCTTCCGAAAATGATGTAGTGCTATTTAATCATCACCCCGAGCTACTCACAGATGATCTATTAAATAATTACATTTGCTCCTGTCTCGATGATCATGACCGAGAAAGATTCATTCATACATTTCAACTATTACGAAGAGATTTTTTCAACATGTTCTATTAGAACAATGTATACAAGCACTAAAGCAATGACAAGAGTTTCTTTCAAAAAAGATCCCTATCGACAGACCATCTCGAGTCATTTTGAAGTCTGCATTGTATAAATTTGTTAGCTACTCAAAATAAAATAGATTTTTGGTGGTATATATTAGTTCCTTTAACTACCGCAAATGAATCTAAACGTTGGAAAATTTTGTATATTCATATTCTAGGAAATCGTTCAACTAGCCGAATCTCGTTTAATCTTCAGCGTCATCAAGTTCATTTTGAGTCAGCAATAGTTCACCCTTGTTTCGTAATGTGTAGGCAGCGTAAATGTGATCGGTTGCAAACGTTGTTAACAATAGAGTTGATACCTTATCGTATTGTTCGAAAACATCCTTATACTTTCTTGTCCGATAAAAAGCCTTGCCAATACAGTTGTATAATATAACCGAAACAAGACTATTTTCTGGTGCAAGCGTACGTTGGCTAACATCAACAGAAATGATAAAGTGTGCGAACGCTTGTTCGTAATCACCTTTCATATAAAGAATTCTACCCATAATTTCTAGAATAATGCTGAACTCAAGACCCTTTCGAGTGAAAATTCGTTCTCCGATCTCCAAGGATCTTTTCATTAAATTGAACGCTTGATCGCAATCATCCATGCGACAGAATACAGTTGCCGCATGCCGATAAGCACGACACAAATTCGGAAGATCGAACGGTACTTGCCGTCGAATGATTTGTAAAGCGTGTTGGAAGTGTTCCAATGCTGAGACATTCAGACCGATAACTAAGTGAATGTAGCCGAGTCCTATGAGAGTATGCACGAGACACATCTCTTCGACAACGTTTATGGTCGCGTATTTTCTCAAAGAATCTGCATAGCTCGATAGAGCTTTGTCATAGTTACATTCATAGTAATAGACAAGACCACCAAATGTATTTATTAGTGCAGCATGAGTCAAATCAGATAGATCTTTGTTCATTGAAAGATGAAAGGCATTTTCATAGTAATCGAGTGCTTGGGCATTATCATCGAGAACACCGTGAGCTTTGCCCAGCATAAAAAGAACATACGGGTCATCTGGCCTTTGTTCTCTCAAATAATTGAAGTAAATGATGGAGGGTGTGGAGTGTGGATGTGACTAAAAAGAAGATACATGCGCACATCCACACCCCACCCCAAGGGGAAAACAGCAGACTTGAAGTAGAAAAGTACGGCAAAGTACTTGAAGCACAAAAGTCTACTGTTTCCCCCTCGCCCACACCCACATGCATTGGACATGATATGGATTAACATTGTACAATGAGTGAAATATGCTATTTTCACAAAAGAAAGACAATCGTTCATGATTAGTATTGTATACACGAATGAGACTAAATGATTGACTTCGATTCTTTTGTTTTCCTAAAGTATATTTCATTTTCTTTCTCAAAACTGTTCGGTGTGTAAACACGTATTCGGATAAATTTTTTTCATCATTCATTAAAAAAATTTGAATTTATTCAATTCTTTTTTTTGAAATAGATATTAATACAATTTTATTATGACACTTCTTAGCCAAGGTATCTTTGACTACATTTCTCTGATACAGAAGTAAAAGAAGGATGGGCATGAGTGTGGGTGGGGTGTGGGTATGGGTGGTAAGTGTGAGATGTGATTGTTATACCCACACCCCACACCTACATCCACACCTTCAAGAAAACTTCGTTTATTTTTCAACATATATATATATATATATATATAGCGAGAAAGTACGGAACATGCTGCATCTTATGGTATATTCACCTTGAACAGCGTATAAAGTTTAGCGCATAACAAAAGTAACTAGTAATGTGTACCTTAAGTTTGTTACAAAATATATCGAGTTTATGCACATTATAACCAGCACTAATGATAAGTCTATAAATTTTGCTTTTTTTATGTTCCTAGATGTGAATCTTTCTCTGATACAGTTTTCATGTATTAAACTTTATTTGCTATTCAAGATGAACACATAAGATTCAGCGTGTTCCATACTTTCTCACTATGTATAATTTGTTTAAAAATAAATGAAGAATGTTAATAAAAGCACAAAAAAAACAGAGACAATCCAATTGACGTCCATTCCATACATGTGCATATGTTCGACCTTTTTGCATTGGTAAAAGCGACTTCTATGTCAGTCGATTCTTCGCTACTGACATATATTTTCAATAGAGACTTAAAAAGTTCATGTTTTAGATAGAAACAATTAAAAAAACGTGTGAATGAATTCGATTATTTAGTCAATTCATTCTGATTCAGTGTTCGAAACGAACGTTTTAAGTTCGAATTCTAAAACTATCCAACCAGTTCAGACAAATTGCGTATTTAGGTATTTCTTGAAGCATTTGCTAAGGAAATAAGCAATTATGAAAGTAACCGACAATATTGTATTATAATTCTTCTAATAAACATCGAAATTAGATGAAAATTTTTCAATAATAAATAAATCTAAATCTGCTCAGTATTATTCTATTTGAAGTAGATAAAATAATAGTTGAGAATCTCTATTGACGTAAATAAATAAATAATTCTATTTTTTAAAGAAAAAAAAAACAATTTGTATCAATGAGATTGATATTTAATTGATCTGAACAGCTGGAATATAAAAAATGCAATATTGCTTGAATAAAAATTTAAAAACAAAAACTTTAATTTTGAAAAGTAACAATTCTTCCAAATGTTTTATTAGTTCCCCAAATTCCTTTTCTAAGACAAGCTAATTGAACAATTTGACTGTGATCAATAAATAAATTGGCATGTGCACCATTATTTTGAATATGATAAGCAAATACTTGTGGATCAGCTGCTTCAAACCTAAAATAAAATTTGTTTTAAAAGTTTTTCTAAACAAAATTTACATTATTTTATCTTGGGGTAAATTAGATGTAATAGCTGAAATAATATCTGTTCTCCATGATTTAACATTTTCTGTAATACCTTCAGATTCAATCATTATCATCTTAAAAAAACAAATTTTGTTTTTTCTTTTTTATTTTAAAAATAAAAAATTGAAAACAAACATGAGCTCCAGCATCCAGAAATTTTTTGGCACGATCAATTAACCATTTCGAATCTCGAGTTCCAGCATTTTCAAGTTCTTTAATCGATGCATCACCACCTGCACCCCATTGTATACCAACTTCTGTTTTTGCTTTTAAACCGTATGAATTAACTAACTTTACAAGTTCTGTCCAATCATCAGCAGGAATACTAAGAAAACCTGAACTTATTTCTAATACATCAAAGCTAAAATCAAAAAAAAAAATTTTTGTTTTTTTGTATTTTTGATTAATTAAATAAATTACCCTAGATCTTTACATGTTTTTAAATATTGTTTTATAATTTGTTTATCACCAGCTGATGAACTTAATACTCTTTCAATATAACCACCTGTACTAACATAACATTGATGTTTATGTGCAATATCAATCATCTCACGTAAACGTTTTTCAGGCATTAATGAAAATGAACCACCAGCAAATCTTAATTAGAAATTATATTCAACGGAAATATATTTTCTTTTTCTCAGCACCTATCTGATTCAACTCTGAACTTATTAAATATGCTTAAGTAACTAGGAACATTTATTTTCTAATATTTTGATTGAGAATTTTAAATTCTATTGCTAATAAAACGATATTTACAGCGTAAATAGAAAAAAAAATCGTACTTGATTCCATCAACATATTCTCCCCAATCTTGAAGTAATTCATTAAGATAAGTGCGTGTTACTGGTGCATAATAAGGCCCACGAATTTCTGTTATACCTTTTTTTCTATCTGGTTTTGATGGTAATTTATTTGTTGGTAAAAATGAAAAAGCTGTTGAATGTTCAGGTAAATGATGACTTAGTGATCGAATAGAAAATAATAATGGAATACTATATTGAACACAATATCGAGAAGTAAACATTTCTATATACTAAAAAAATTATTTGATCAATGAGAACCTTTAAGAAATTATTGAATTATTTTATCATAATTAAATACATTCAAAATCAGTAGTATTATTGTTGAGTTTTTGGATCATTTTCATAAAAATAAATGAATGTGTTGTTTTAAATCGATATATTCTCTTATTGGTTAAAAGTTTGACCTATATCAAATAACTCTTTTTTTAAAAGAAGTAGATATCGCTGTTATAGTGTGATTCATTTTGTTGGATATTTCTTTCTTTTCTGTTCTTCTATTATGCCATATAGATGACAAGCACGACATACATACACGCCTGGACAAAAGTCTTTCCCCCCTCAGATCTCAACCGTCATAGGAGTTAGAGGTCTGAAAATTTGTATGCACATATTCCACCAGGAATGTAGGTCAACGGCATCACCCATACCCCGATTATTTGAGTAGAAATGGAGTTATAATGGACAGTATCTATTTTTTGCTTTGAGTTTCATAACTCTGGAAAGGAAGGGCGTTGTGGATTGACAGACCCATCATTATGTAGCTCTATCATCCAGCTATCTGTCATACAAATTTCGTGAAACTTTGTCGACGCATACAAGAAACATGGTCGTTTCACTCTAACCATCAGCGTGCAAGAAAACATCTATTGTCTTTTGAAGACCCACAACTCAATGATAGTTCAATGAATT